AATAATAATAATAATAATAATAATAATAATAATAATAATAATAATAATAATAATAATAATAATAAAGTTGGAAGGGACCTTGGAGGTCATCGAGTCCAACCCCCTGCTCAGGCAGGAAACCCTACACCATTTCGGACAAATGGCTGTCCAGTCTCTTCTTAAAAACTTCCAGTGTTGGAGCATTCACCACTTCTGGAGGGAGGTTGTTCCACTGGTTAATTGTTCTCACTGTCAGGAAGTTTCTCCTTAGTTCTAGGTTGCTTCTCTCCTTGATTAGTTTCCATCCGTTGCTTCTTGTCCTGCCTTCAGGCGCTTTGGAGAATAGCTTGACTCCCTCTTCTTTGGGGCAGCCCCTGAGATATTGGAAGACTGCTATCATGTTCCCCCTCGTCCTTCTCTTCGTTAAACTAGACATACCCAATTCCAGCAACCGTTCCTTATATGTTTTAGCCTCCAGTCCCCTGATCATCGTTGTTGCTCTTCTCTGCACTCTTTCTAGAGTCTCAGCATCTTTTTTACATCGTGGTGACCAAAACTGGATGCAGTATTCCAAGCGTGGCCTTACCAAGGCCTTGTAAAGTGGTATTAATATTGCACGTGATCTTGAGTCTATCCCTCTGTTAATGCAGCCCAGCACTGTGTTGATAAGTTTCCAACTGTTCCTTCTTGTTCTGCCTTCAGGTGCTTTGGAGAATAGATCTGTCCAGTCCATTTCCATCAGGGAAGGAAGAAGATGGTAAGGATATGCTAATACAAATTAAAGATCACACTCAATTTGGAAGAACAGGAAGCTTTGAATGACGTAACCTGAAGCAACCAACCAAATTTGCAAACTCTTCCAATTTCCAAGAAAATTGTTTGCTTTTACTGCATCCCACTCCGGTGTGCACAGACAGCCCTGCAGGCAAGGAGTCATCAAAAAGTCAGCATCAGCAAACATGTTGTGCCCAGACACAAGAACATGAATATGTTTATTAGTGCGTATTACCAAAGCCCAAAATAGAATACACACTGTCTGTTCATAAATAATGGTGTCCTGAATGCTTACTCAGATGATTTTATGCTGGCTGCAAATAGGTGACATCAGCTGTTGACTTGAAAAAATAAGTAATTAGCGTTGATCCTCATCTCCTTGGTATCACCTGCACCTCTGTAATGCTATTACCTCCTATATGAAAACTAACATGGTTACTAGTGTCATAAAGTATTAGTTCACAATATTATGCTGAATTCATGCTAAACTTCCTAAATAATTTCTTCCAGCCATGGCTTCCTGTCCTGCCTTCAGGGGCTTTGGAGAATAGCTTGACTCCCTCTTCTTTGGGGTAGCCCCTCAGATACTGGAAGACTATTATCATGTCACCCCCTGGTCCTTCTTTTCATTAAATTACACATACCCAATTCCAGCAACCCTTCTTCATATGTTTTAGCCTCCAGCCCCTTGATCATCTTTGTTGCTCTTCTCCGCACTCTTTCTAGAGTCTCAACATCTTTTTTACATCGTGGTGACCAAAACTGGATGTAAAACTGGAAACCTTGATTGGTTTCCATCCGTTGCTTCTTGTCCTGCCGTCTGGTGCTTTGGAGAATAGCTTGACTCCCTCTACTTTGTGGCAGCCCCTGAGATATTGGAACACTGCTATCATGTCCCCCCTCGTCCTTCTCTTCATTAAACTAGACAGACCCAATTCCAGCAACCGTTCCTTATATGTTTTAGCCTCCAGTCCCCTGATCCTCTTTGTTGCTCTTCTCTGTACTCTTTCTAGAGTCTCAACATCTTTTTTACATTGTGGTGTCCAAAACTGGATGCCATATTCCAAGTGTGGCCTTACCAAGGTGTTGTAAAGCGGTATTAACACTTCATGCGATCTTGATTCTATCCCTCTGTTAATGCAGCCTAGCACTGTGTTGGCTCTTTTGGCAGCTGCAGCACATGGTTGGCTCATATTTATTCATGTTCCCTTCCATGCTGTTGTGTTCTCAGTCCTGGAACCCTTTCTCTGGAAACTTTCTGTTCAAAGTCTTCAGAGAAATACCTTACTTCGAAAACTGACTAGTGAAAAGGTCTGAAATTGGAACTAAAACTTAGTTAAGCCACTATTCACTTAAATAGTGCAGACCCCACCAGCTCTGAAAGACTAATCAACCTGCATTTTGGCGTGGCTGTTTTTTCCCCCAATGTTCTAAGCTTATCCCAACAGAAAGCCAATATACTTTTGATGTTTTTATTTTCTTTCCAATAAAAAAAATCATTCCATTCCCATTTTTACTGAAATGCACCATTGTCATCTGCTTGCCAACACCTAAAGTTCACATTCTCTCCATCTTCAGGTCAGATATTAGGGGCAGGGCAATGGTGAATAGAATGTGAAGGATGTGTGTATATAATGTATGTTCTTATGTGTGGTTTTTACCTGTGAGTAATGTGCACTGTGGACAGGACTTAATTTCATTGTGAGTTACACAATGACAATAAAGATATTCTATTCTATTCTATTCTATTCTATTCTATTCTATTCTATTCTATTCTATTCTATTCTATTCCATTCCATTCCATTCCATTCCATTCTGTATTTTCTATTCTATTCTATTCTATTCTATTCTATTCTATTCTATTCTATTCTATTCTATTCTATTCTATTCCATTCCATTCCATTCCATTCCATTCCATTCAATTCTATATTTTCTATTCTATTCTATTCTATTCTATTCTATTCTATTCTATTCTATTCTATTCTCTACTCTACTCTACTCTACTCTACTCTACTCTACTCTACTCTACTCTACTCTACTCTACTCTACTCTATTCTATTATCTACTCTACATTATTCCTACTCTACTCTACTCTACTCTACTCTACTCTACTCTACTCTACTCTACTCTACTCTATTCTATTGATAAAACAAAAAAGATGAATTGATGCTGCAGGATCCTATCTGAGTCTGCCACAGGGACAAAAGTTTATTTTTCCAAGCTCCAGAATCTGGAGAGAGAGAGAGAGAGAAGTTCCCTGAGGATGGGGCCCAGCACAAGCTCAAAAGCTTGGAAGAATAAATCTTTGGTCAGATTGGATCCTGCAGCATTATCCTGGCACACGTATATTTGCCTTCATTTGCAAGATAAATTAATTTCAACCCTGGCAAAACCCATCTCATTAAGCTCCACCTGGCTCATGTTTACACTGACTTATTAATTTCATCCCACGCTTCTAATCCAGAAGGTCAGGTTGACATAATAGCACGCCTAACTCTTTTTTTTTTTTTACATAATTATGACATAGGCTGGGTTTCGAGTCACCGATGGAATCTCTGCAGCTGAGGAAGGATTAGAATTCCTTCCTCTGTGTGGTGGTTCAACCCTGGCTCTCTACGTCCCTGTTACGATCTCGGCTAGTGACAAACTGGCATACTTTCCTGCTACTTCTGAAACTGGGAAACTGCATGTGTGACAAACGGAAACAGGCTCAGATTTCGTCTCCAAAACCACCACCACCCATATGTAACACAGAACCTCACCTAGTTTTGTTGGAGCCAAAACTATTGAGACTGCCTCTTCAAGAAGGTTTGTGGACCTGCCAAAAATATTAAGGGTGTCTATTTAAGATGCTTATCGTTACCTTATCCCCAAGATCTTCCCACCACAGTGACTCAGGAAACTACTTCGCAAATCTGCAGCAGAGAGGGAAAGTTAGAGGAGCTTGGGGTGGGGTGGACAGAAACCCACGTAATCAAACAGGCCTTTTTGGCAAGTCCTTTACTAGCAATTAATAGTCTACAGTTGTTGGTCTTTCTTCCTTCCCTTCCAAAAAAACAATAAACAAAAAAAGTCACAGCTTTTGAAGACAAACACAACAGGGGTTCTTTTCTTCACGGGAGTGGGAGGCCAAGGAAACAATTCTTTTCCAGCCCAGCCATTCCCATTCTTCAACTCCGGAGGATGCAGAGGAAATGGCAGTCGAGCTGCAACAATCGGCAGAACAAAGTCAGATGCAAATTGGAGTTTCATTTCGAAGGGGGCGAGCCCCAGAAGTTCAGATTCCACGCCAGTCTTTCTGGTGGTGTGAAAACAGGTCATCTGAATGTCCGTGGATTTCTGATTGGAAAATGACGTATCTGTCACCGCTGTATTGCAGACGCCTTCCGCAGGATATTTACAGTTCACAGACCACAACCAACAACAACACCAGGAAGGCAGATCTACTCTCTGCTTGAAATTGGAAGAAACGGATGCCTTCCCCAGCAGCATCCTGCAGGATGACAAAAGAAAAGAAAAACACATGAGTCAGATAAATCCAGAATTGTCGGAGGATTGACTGGGACTTAATTTCTTTTTTCTTTTTAAATTATTTATTCTTTTTTTATTTATTTATTTATTTATTTTATTTGATTTATATCCCGCCCTTCTCCCAACGGGACTCAGGGCGGCTCACAACATATTAAAAAACATAAATACATTTGCTACCCCACCGAAGTAAAACCAATTAAAACCGAATATTTAAAGTTGTGCTATTTAAAAATTACTGCTAAAATAAACACTATACAACAAAAATAAAAACAAAAATGAAAAAAAATACATTGTTTTTCCTTTAACAGAACTGTGTTATACATCTCATATATATTATTTACAATTTATTTACATCAGTAATCATATCTTTTTCTTTCTCTGTTCTAGCCAATTATAACATTTGTTCCATATTTCATAAAATTCTGTTGCCTCCTTGTCTTTTAATTCTAGCGCAGTGGTTCTCAACCTTTTTAATGCCGCGACCCCAACCGGTCGTAATTTGAGGACTAAACCGGTCGTAAGTCAAGGACTAAACCAGTCGTAAGTCGAGGACTACCCAACCGGTCATAAGTCGAGGACTTTCCCTGCCCGGGAGCACCGCACATGCGTGGTTCCGCTCCCTGCGCCAGCCGAGGCATAGCTGGCAAGCGGCAGAGACGGAGCAGGCCGACCACCAGCTGGCCCAGCCCAAGGGAGGTAAGGCACCCGCCGGAAAAGGGGGAAAAAATGGCGTGCAAAAAAAATGGTGGACAAAAATATGGCGGACAGCCTTGCTTGGCGACCCCCGTGAAATGGTCGATCAACCCCAAATGGGGTCCCGACCCACAGGTTGGGAACCACTGTTTTAGCGTAAGTTTATTCATTTCCGCGCATTCTAGAATTTTGTGTATGATCATATCATTTGTAGGTATGTTTTCACCCTTCCAACACTGGGCATATACTATGCGGGCTGCTGTTAAAATGTGTATAATAATGTATTGGAGTTGTTTTTCCATCTTTACATTTATTATACCCAAAAGAAATAGTTCCGGTTTGAGTTCAATTTGCACCTTACTTATCTCCTGTATCCAGTTCCTTATCCGTTCCCAATAGGTCTTTGCTTTAGGGCACAGCCACCACATGTGATAAAATGTTCCTTCCTTATTTTTGCATTTCCAACATTCCGGATTCATATTTTTGTACATTTTGGCCAATCTCGCTGGTGCTAAATGCCATCTATAGAACATTTTGTATTGATTTTTGGGACCTAATTTCTATTTGAATGCATCTTGGAGCTAAGTTACTAAGATCCATATTATTATTTTATCTCTATTTGCCTGTCTCTTCCTCAAGCTATGGGTCCATAGCCTTAGTTAAAACATATCAGCATCCATCACTGTATCTCTCTGTTGCCAGTAAGGATCAATATCTAAAAGCCCTACATAACACAATAACAGAAGGGAACTTGGAGGTCTTCTAGTCCAACCCCCTGATGAAGCAGGAGACCCTATATCATTTCAGATAATTTGTTGTCCAATCTCTTCTTAAAAGCCTCCTGTGTTGGAGCATTCACAACTTCTGGAGGCAGGTTGTTCCACTGATTAATTGTTGTGTCAGGAAATTTCTCCTTATTTCTAGGTTGCTTCTCTCCTTAATTAGCTTCCATCCATCTCTTCTTGTCTTGCCTTCTGGTGCTTTGGAGAATAGGCTGACCCCCTCTTCTTTGTGGCAGCCCCTCAGTTATTGGAAGACTGCTATCATGTCACCCCTAGTCCTTCTTTTCATTAAACTAGACAAACCCACTTCCTGCAACTGTTCTCTGTATATTTTAACTTTCAGTCCCCTGATCATCTTTGTTGCTTTTTTCTGCACTCTTTCCAGAGTCTCAACATCTTTTTTTTTTACATAGCTGCGACCAAAACTGGATGCAGTATTCCAAATGTGGCCTTACCAAGGCATTGTAAAGTGGTATTAACACTTCACATCCTCTTGATTCTATCCCTCTGTTAATGCAACCTAGGACTGCATTGGCTTTTTTGGCAGCTGAAGCACACTGCTGGCTCATGTTTAAGTGATAGTCCACTAGGACGTCAAGATCCCTCTCACAGTTACTACTATTGAGCCAGGTACCACTTATTCTATACTTGTGCATTTTGGTTTTTCTTGCCTACGTGTAAATCCTTACTTTTCTCTACATCTTGTTAGATAGGGCCCAATGTTCAAGTCTGTCAAGATGCTTCTGTATCTTGTGCCTACATCAAAGGCAATTGAGAAGGGGCCAGAGATGTTTCAAAGAAAGTAACAGATTGACTATGGACTCTTATGAGTATGCTGTTAAAAACAAACTTTCTAAGAGACGGCAACTTATGACATGGCGCTGCATAACAGCAACTGTCCAAAGATCTGTTTCATTCCCAAGGATTGAAAATCTGCGCTATTTCCCCAAGTGTGGTTGTTAAAGCTCCCATAGAATATTATCTATTAGCTGGAATGGTTGCCTAAACATTGGTTTTTTTCCCCTTCTTCTTCTTTTTTTGCTACCCACTGTTTTTAATGTCTTAGGCCACCTGTAATGGAGCCTAGAGTCCTTCCAAATTAATTAATTAATTACACATCTTGTTAGGAAGTCTGTATATAGCCCTACAGAACGAACAGTGCACTGTCCACATGTGGTTTCCTGCTTAACTGCGAGAAGGAAGCAGGAAACTTTATTCAGAGAAAAGACATAGAGTATATACCATAGATGCAACTACAAACTTATAAACGCTGCCATCTACTGGTTGAAGAATATACTGCTTTAGTCGTTGTACAAATACATGAATCATATATTCCAACAGATCTTAATTCCAAACCTGACTTACTTATTTAGGACTCTTCCCTCTGCATACAAAAAAAGCAATTAGGAATCCCAGGAACATCACAGAACCGATGATAATTAGCGTCAATTGAAGGTAGTGCATCAATTTGATCTTGTTAATCACTTTTGATCGGAAAGCTTCTGCTTTTTCATCACCAATAATAGCTGTCTAGAGAAAGAAAGGGGGGAGAAAGCATTTTTCAGCATCCTTCCAGCAGAAGAATACAATGTGAATAGTCAGCAACAGTAATGCTCTTCTCAAATAAAGGAGTGGCCAAAATTGTGGAAACCTTTTGGGAAAAGTGTATTTTTGAGGTTGGATGGCTAATAACACCGCTTTTTTTGGGGGGGGGAGTAGTACCATAAAATTATATATCAGTGGAAAGATAATTTAATCAAGAATGTAATGCAACAAAGTTTGTTCAATTATCTGTACTGTATTCTATGAAAAGTTATAGCCAAATAACCAGAAAAAGGAAGCACAACTTGCTTAGGTTGATCTCAGGTAGCTTTCCTTCATCTGATTGTAGCCAATGAGCATTGAGTGTTTAGAGAGCCAATCAGGTGTCATCTTGTTTTGGCCATGAGCCAATCAGATCACAGAAGGATCCAGTGATTGATGTCATGTATTAAAGCTGAGAGGAGGACATTTGTCAGTGTGTTATGTGATCGCTATCAAGTTGGTTGGGCTTTTTTGTGTTCTTTCATTTAGTGAGCTTGTAAAACGTCATTAAATTAAAGTAGTGGTGCAAAGAGTTGACTGGTCACCCAGCAAGCAATGTAAAATAGTATTATTAAGTGAACAAGGCTGCAGTTATAAAGAAATTATAAGAAAAATGGGTGGAAACTTAACCAAAGGTGGCATTTCTACTGTACACTTTTCCCAAAAGGTTTCCTCAATTTTGGCCGCTACTGTAAGTGCTATTTTGCAATTTGCATCATTTTGCAGAAGCTTGCAGCAGGGAAGAAGACTATTGCAAATAGCAAACTGATTTTCAGGGAGCAGATGGAAAGGCAGCAAAAGGAGGAGGAACAACAACCATGACCTGGATGACTGAGAAGCTTCACAGACATGTGGTTTTTATTATTATTATTATTATTATTATTATTATTATTATTATTATTGCCGCCTATGCAAAGAAGCTGAAGAAACAGTGGACCACCTGGTAAGCTGCTGCAAGAAGATCGCACAGACTGACTACAAGCAGCGTCATGACAAAGTAGCAACAATGGTGCATTGGAAGATCTGCAAGAAATATCATTTGCCTGTAAGCAAAAACTGGTGGGATCATAAAATATAGAAAGTCATAGAAAATGATAAAATTAAACTGCTCTGGGACTTCAGAATTCAAACAGACAAGCACCTACAGCATAACGCCCTGGACTTAACAATTGTCGATAAGAAAGACAAAAAAAGTCTGGATAGTGGACGTGACAGTGCCTGGAGACAGCAGAATAGACGAGAAAGAACTGGAGAAGATAACAAAATACAAAGACCTACAAATAGAAATAGACTGTGGCAAAGGCAAGCAAGGGTAGTACCAATAGTAATAGGCGCCTTGGGTGCAATCCCAAAACAACTGGAGCACCACTTGGATACCATCGGCATTGACAAATTCGCCATTAGTCAATTGCAAAAGGCAGCCTTACTAGGAACTGCTTCCATCCTGCGATGATATCTATAATACCATCAAACATGCTCATCTGCCTATCCCAGGTCCTTGGTAAGGACTCTATAGGTAGACAAAAATGCCAAATCCAGTCTGAACATCTGGCTGACTGTGCGATGATCAATAGTACTACTACTACTACTACTACTACTAGTAGTAGTAGTGGTAGTAGTAGTAGTAGTAGTAATAATAATAATAATAATAATAATAATAATAATAATAATAATAATAATAATAATAATAATAATACTCGGAACATCTTATATTTTAAGGAGATACCTGGTTGACACCTAGGATGCTGGTAGCAATCCGTGCCAACCATCAGCGCCAGCCAATTTGAATGTTCAGTTGACTGAGGTTCATGTTTAATGAATAAAAGAAATAATAATAATAATAATAATAATAATAATAATAATAATAATAACAACAACAACAACAACAACCATCATCATCATCATCATCATCATCATCATCATCATCGATAGGTAGATAAAAATGCCAAATCCAGTCTGAACATCTGGCTGACTGTGCGATGATCCATAATAATAATAAATACAAGGGTTATGAATGCTATTAATCCCTTGTGTTGAATAATGTCTCTCTTCTGTCATGCCAAAAATTAATGGCTGCAACGGGGGGGGGGGAGCAGCCATGGAGAAACACTTCTACAGCTCCAGGTTTTCAACAACTGTGCCCCTTCCCCAGTTAGCAATGAGAGGAAAACCCTAACCAGAATGGCTAAATACTGTATCTTCATCCCTGGAGTCAATATTGTAGCACAAAGGCAAGAAGAACATCTCCTGATGGTCAAGATGACTTTGTGTCATCCAGAAGGAAGCCCCTCAGAATTTTCCTGCTTCCTTCTGTATATCAAGATTGAGAGGTTTACATGGGGAGAAGCAGTGAACACTGGGAAAGGAGAGGATGGGTGATATGGGAAGTAGGTTTCTACTGGTTTCATTTCAGAGGAAACCAGGACCAGTTAAGGACAGGAATCTCTGGATCTTCTCCCAGGTCAGAGAACTGAGACAAGTTCTTAGTCTTTCCATGGTGGGTAGATGATCGTATAGAAGCAGATATTTGGGGGGATTCTTGGTTTGTTTGTTTTTTAGTTGGTTCAATCAACTGTGATCCCAGACTGGTCAAAGAGTCAAACTAAAAGGAAAGATTGCAGCAATTGAAAAAGATATACACTGACCTCATTCAGCCACAAAATAGGAAAGATAAAGTCTTGCTTAATTTTTTTTAGGGCTCTGCAGAAAACAAAAAATAAGAACAAAAAAGAAAAAAGCAGGAACATTAAAACAAACTCAGTTTGGGCCAGCTGTCTTCTGAGAACACAAGAGACGACGACCACATTAGTTGAAGTTCTATACCAGTGATGGCGAACCTTTTAGAGACCGAGTGCCCAAAAACTGGCCCCA